TATATATATATATATATATATATATATATATATATATATATATATATACTGCAAGTGTAACTCAAACCTCTTGTATAAATATGTGGTGGTTTGTGTTTTTCAAATGTTCAACAGTTGTTTCACTAAATCTGACTCATACTGGCATCCCTGGTATGTGGAACATTTCTGTAACTCAGTGTTTGCATATAAAGTTTCCGCTCAGGTATTTTACAACCTTTGTTGTAGGCTGAAACGGCATAAAGGTTGACATACTTGAAAAGTTATTATGAGGAGTTCAAGCATGTCAACTGCAACCTTTTGAAATGGCTCAGGGGCAACAATTGTTTTTATACGAGCTTTCTGATGAATTAATCATCCTATAATCTGACGGGAATTTATTTAGCTTGTCTCGGCACTGCTTATAAGTCCGGGTGTAGCTGCACCATCATCTCTGATATCTCTCTGTAAATGCACTAACTTCTGTCTGTCAACATGGTATGGTATGGTATAAAATTTATTCATTTTTAAAAAGTACACAACAATTCCATAACAATATAAAAAAAGATACAAAAGATTTAAAATGACAGGCAGCAGAAAGAAGAAAAAAATCTTATTATATCTGCCCCTTTTTTTTCAAACAATTATTTCAATCATAATAATTTTCAAGTAACTGAACATGATGAGGAAGTGGAGGTTCAGATGTAGTTGGTTTGCTCGGCAGGTCATGCAGTGACGTAGCTCCGCTGGCTAATCAATGGCTGCTGTCTGTTTACGTCAGAATCGTCACCTCGGAGCAGTTTGCTTGGAATCAAGAACAAGGTGGTCCCACAAACCAGGATGAATGTGGGGGGGGGGGGGGGGGTACTGGCAGTGGGCAGACCCTTAACTGGTGCAGTGTGGTGTGGAACCAATGAGAACTGAAACAGTAGCAAAGCGCCTTTAGATAAATTCTGACACAGGACCAGTTTTTCCTTCTGCAGTGCAACCAGTGTGCCCCCACGCTGAGGATCATCACTTTTTCATGCATACGAAACAGACGTGTGCATGCGTGCGTCTGTGTCTGAGGAAAGCTATTTGGTACTTTACTGTCCTATTCTTATACAAATAAGACATTTGAATGCAATCACTTCCAGTGTGCAGGTGGGGGCTGAAGAGGGTAAATGTTCCTCCTTCACCTTGAAGTATTTCTTAAAAATGCTGTGAAAAACTAAATAGGCATCCCACTTTGGGAATTGTTTGACCAATTATAAATCTTAATGTCCTTGAAGAACAGGTCCATGAGTAAAAATACTATTCAAGTTCATTCTGGGAAGAGTCTCTCCATGGAAACTGGTGCAAACAACTGTGTCCTTCAAAAGCTTAAATATTCTTTTTACTCCAGAAGACAATCAGTCAGTGCACTGTTCACCTTAACTGTAGAATAAACATTAAACTAGTTTAACAGGGAAGCGAGATAAACTTCTATTTAACTTTACATCTTTGAAAAGTTATCTTTTCACCACAACAAGATAAACTCTTAATGTATCAATTCATCAACTGTTCTCTTTGGTTATGAGTCAACAAACAACTGACAATCAACAAAATTATATTGTGAATACAAGTTGCTGAACTCTCTTAAACCAGTATCTCATAATGATGGGACTGTTCTCCCTATATGAAAAACATCTCATGTAAAAAAAAATAATAATAATAATAATAAAAGATCTGTTCTAAAACAAAACGATTCACTTGAATACTTCCAAACATGTGATTTGAAACAGTGTGGGGCATGTTGCCCATCGCTCTCCACAGTGAAGCCCTTACCTTCCAGAGTCACCTCCTTCCCGGCTTGTTTCAGCGCCTGCACCGCCTCGTCGTGCGTGGATTCCCGCAGGTTCACGTCGTTCACGGACAGGATCGCGTCCCCCACATACAGAGCCTGGGTCTGATCCGCCGCGAGCCCCTTGAATATCTTACTGATGAGGATGGGCATCTTGTTCTCCTTCCCTCCTTTAATGCTGATGCCGAGTCCTCCGACTTCCTGCTTGGGCACCTTGACGCAGCGCTTTCTGTTGGCGATGGCCTCGGGGACTCGCTCCGGGAGGTCCGTGAACGCAGTGCGCGCAGCTTGTTGCGGGGGCCCGTTGTTGGAGTTGGCGTTGCTGTTGTCCAGGTAGGAGCCATTGGTGACCCCGTTGGACTTGATGTCACAGTCCTCACAGCTCAACGTGAGCGCCTCCTCGCTCAAGTTGGCCAGAACTTTGTGCCAGCGCGCCCGAACCAAAACCTCCACGAATCCACTTTTGTGCTCTCGGGGTCCACTCGAGAATCCAGCCGCTGCTACCACCGCCATCTTTGGAGCATTTCTGTGAAATGACGCACGCTCGCGTGGAGCTCGTGCCGCACAGACTTTGTCCCTCAAAGTTATTTATTATTTTGTCTCGTGCGCGGGGCTCGTCCGGTTCAGCCAACCAGAGTCCTGACAGAACACACTAAAGCCCCGAGGTCCTAAATATGTGCCGGGTGGAGTTACTCCCAGCATGACACAAAACATAATTTACATCTGAGACAGCTGATGAGAGAAATAAACATGTGCCAACTATATTTCCCAAACTGCAAGTAACTCCAAACCTCTTGGATTAAATCTTCTGCGATATAACGCAGCATGTTTTTATAACGACACTGGAAAATTTAAATTAGACAAGCCTGCTGCTGCAATTTAAATATATTTGTGCGTAATTTATACACCTAAATGAAATAAAGTGTACATTTTATATTGTAAACTTTGTAAATGGGAGTTTAAAAAAAAAATCTAACTTGAACAATTTTCAGTCTTTCAGCACAAGTCCGCGTTCACGACGCCGACATGATCTCGGCCACGCGCATACAGGAATGCGCCTGTTTGTTTTTGATGCGTCCACGAAGAGATAAAGTAAGCTGGCTACGTTTTGTGAGGAGGCTTGAACAAGTAAAAGAGATTCGCCCTCAAAGGATTTGCTCCCCATCTCTTATTATTTGTCCAAAGCCCCCCCTCCCCACACACACACATGCTGTGTCCCCCTGACCCTGCAGAGCACTGCTGAGATGATATCTGGTTCTGCAGGTCAGACACAAATCCAAAGAGAATGCACCAAAACAGTGTACAGTAATGACTATATATAGAACAGGAAAAGACCAGTTACCCCAGAAACACTTTGGCTGAGGGAGGACTGAACTTTTACAACAACTCCACCTCCTCCACCTGCAGAGATCAGTTTCCATCATGGAGCTTTCTGAACCTTTCTCAGTGTTTAAACAGTTTGTGCAAAGTTTGCTTCATTACGCAGAGCTTTTCAAGCAATGTTACAGCGACACCTACTGACAACTTCTTGAACTATCTATCTATCTATCTATCTATCTATCTATCTATCTATCTATCTATCTATCTATCTATCTATCTATCTATCTATCTATCTATCTATCTATCTATCTATCTATCTATCTATCTATCTATCTATCTATC